AGTTATTATAATATGTACAAATGGTATAACTGTTAGTTTGTCAGTGAAACATAAAGATGTAAACTGTGTTATTTTTTCTTCCTTTTTTTGCATGTGTATCACCATACCCCAAGTTATGAAAGAAATAGCCACAATTAGCCGAAGAAGTGTGTGTTGTGACCTGAAATATCCGTGGGCCACAACCAGCCTCTAACTACAGAAGCAGAGAAACACAAATACAGCAAACTGTGTCTACAGAGACCTACCGTCCACGAAAACGTTTTGCGTTCTTCCCATACTTTCTTTCGTTGTTCAGTCTAAATGAAAAATCGATCAAGATTAGGGTGTAATATTAATAGGAGAAAATATATATCAAGGGTGTAACATTAATAGGAGGAAAATATATATCAAGAAGGTAGATGGAGTGTAACATTAATTAGAGAAATAAAATATATATCAAGATTAGGGTCTAACATTAATAGAAGAAATATATCAAGAATGGAGTGTAACAGTGATAGGAGAAATATATATACGAAGAATGGAGTGTAACATTAATAGGAGAATATATATCAGGATTATAGTGTAACATAAATTGGAAGATATATATCAAGGTTATACTGTTCAATCTCAAGAAAAGAACAACTGGCAACTCAAGCTAGACTATTCACTCCGATTTCCCAAATCTCATTAACAAAATAATAATACATGAAAATAAATTAGTGTAACTCAAAATAGATATTGTGTACGAGTTCAGAAACTACTAAACTAATATTAAAGTATTTAGTGTCAAATTATAAGAATGCTAAAACAAAATGGGAATCAAAGTCATCCAGAATGAGTTACCAATTCGTTCTTTACATTAATATTTACATTAACACAAAATATTTGTATAATTAACATAATTTATATATTTTTGTACAGATAAAGGAGTTGAATAAATTTATCAATGCGAATGTAGTAAATATTATTATCTTTATCATTATTATCTTTTTCTTCCTTTTGCAAATATGGAAATAATTGTGATATGAATGTAAAAGAATGTGGTGTGGTGTCGAAGAAAAAAGATTTAGAAAAAAAAAACAAAGATATAATCCAACAGAAGCATTATGATCAGAAAGAGACAAGATTAATTCTACAACAAATATAATTAATGTATATGTGCAAGGGTTCAGTCATACTGATGATGTTTATTAAACCGTAGACTTAAATACTAATGATCAAGTACTGGATAATGCAGTGAAAATCAGATTCTATATATATGTATTTCTTTTTACTTAATAACATCATCTAATATAAACTTTTTCCTCACTCAAACATGTCAGTTTTTTCAATAACTGGTGAGTTCACAAGCTTTGTTATATAGATTACGTCAATTTAGATGTTGCATGTTATAACTACAGAATACAGAAAATAATATCAGTGAGTGCGACTAATCATACGGTTTGAAAATGTTGATAAAATGTTGCATGGTGAAGGGATTCATGATCATGTTTCCAAAATGTGAATTAAAAAAAGTAAAACAAAATAATGAATAAATAGATAAAATATAAAAGTGCAGAAATGACGTATCTGTATAAAAATCACACAAAAAAATTGAAATTGAAAAATAAATAAATAAATAAATAAAATATAAAAGTGCAGAAATGGCATTGTATAAAAAGAAAAAAAACACTGAAAAAAACTCTCCATTTGGAAATATGATTATCGAAAAAAAAAAAAAAATAATAATAATTCTTTCATTTAAATCTCAACTCCCGCCCTCGTCCTCATCTCGCACTCTGCACCTCGAACCAAGCCGCCCGCCCGCCGCCTCACCTGTGCACGGGCGGCGCTCTCGGCCCATTCAACGGCGAAAAGACAAAGGGCGTCCGAGTGGGCCCCGGGTCAGCTGTCGTGGATCCGTCGGGACACTGCTTGCATCGTTGGCTGGCGGGAGGGAGGTCAAAGGTCAAGAGGGGCTGGGTCTTAGGGTTCTTTAGTTTGATTTATTTATCATTTAGTTTATCATTTATATTTATTATTATTATATCTTAATTGTTATCATCATCACCATGATCATCATTATTATTATTATCATATTATTATCACATGTGAATATATATATATATATATATATATATATATATATATATATATATATATATATATATATATATATATATATATATATATATATTATCATCATTATTATTATCATAATCCTCATTTGTTATTGGTCATTAACCTCATCATCATCACCATCATTATCATTGTTGTTAACTGATGGTTTTAATTAGAATAAAAGATGAGAAGTTATAAACATAGAAAAAAATATATAATTGAATTTATCTATCTACTACAATCATTTTTGAAGGTACAGAATAGTGTGTGTACGTAACTCTGTGTGTAACGTAACTCTGTGTGTAAGGAAGTAAGTGCAGTGTGTAGTGTCTGTGTAAGTCTATTTTATGCAGAAGTAACATCGTAATGTGAAGTTAAATATCACGTTATGATGTCGAAATATCAGTTAAATACAAACATT